CTCTGAACTCTAAAATGTCAGACTCCAAAATTTCAGAATCCACGGAGGTAAACATCTTCCGCTTTCTTTCTAAAAAGCAAGAAAGCTACAATGATCTCATCAAGCAGATCGGCTCAAAGACTTTGAAGAGTAACAGTACTAAGCTATTGGGTGTTGAGGTCCCAGCCAAACCCACGATTAAGGACGATGGTAATGGTAAGTTTGGAGCAGTTCAGTTGAGAAAAACAGCAGCTCTGAAAAGATTCTGTTATGAGCCAGCCAGCTTACCAGCTATTGAAGACAGTGAGATTACAGCACCACTAAATGAAGGCAAAGATCCAAACTCGCAGCCAGATTACTCTCTGCAGGAGAACCAACTGGATAAAATCACCCGAGAGGACCGTTCATTGTGGGACACTCGCTCCCACCCACCATTGTTCTTTGAGAATGTCAACATCAGATTCATAGATGAACAGAACCTTCTCAGTGACGACGAGAAGGTGGAATTGTCACTGGATGAGAACTTGGTGGACGAGGGAGAGTCTGATGTTTTGGTGGAGACACCAGACACAAACAATTCGGGCTTCCAGGTGTGTAAGCTGGGACATCCACCCGACTACGAACAGCTGATGAATGGATACAACAAAGTGCGCAATGTTGAAGTGGTCATATAACCAAAGGAATCTGGGAACCACTTCTCCAAACTTTCTCCTATATTCCCACTTTGTTCATTCAGCACTAGGACCTGAGCAAAAGGGGACAGACAGTATCCCTGTTGGTTTGGAGGAGCTGCTAATGACATTTGACTGTACGGTCAAAACACCTCCAAGGCACAAGCACAATCCCCTTTTTTTTAAATTTTAAAAAAAAGTGGCCTTAGCTGGAAAGGAAGCATCCCTCTTCCAAATGGGAGAGTCAGATAGCAGAATTTCTTGCGGAAATGTTGACTGATGAAACTGTGACCAAAACTAAATCGTTTCCAAGTGTAAAGATATTCAATCTCTCTCTCTCTCTCTCTCTCTGTCTCTCTTTCTCTCTTTTTCTCTCTCTCTCTCTCTCTTATATACACTGTGAGTATTTTTCTTTCAATGACCGGTTTAAAAAATATTGTTTTTAAGATTTTAATTTTGAGCCAAGAAATGTAGATATTAAACAAGGCAGATGTTTTTAGTTTCAAGGTGGTGTTGGCACAGTTATCCTTCTGACCTGAATTCAATGAAGTACAGTTCAGAAAGTCCAAATTTTGCAATTTGAGAGATTCGAGTTCAATTGGGATTTGAGTGACTTGTTTCAGTGATTTGTTGGGATATTTTTGTTCTCTCTCCCCCTCCCCCACCCCCCTTTAAATGTAAAGCCATTTCTAATACAGATTTTGCAACAGTGTGAGAGTTCAGCATTTACTGAATCCCATCCAAGTCACACTTTTAGAGCCCTGTATTCTTGATTTTGATCTGCACCTTATGAATGACACTTGTATCTGTTTTGTATGTATTTTCGCCTTTATGAATTTACCCAACAGTACTTCAGAAATTGAGCTTTTATCTATCTTGGGTTATCTGATGCAAATCCGAAAGAAAATGAGTGGGAAATCAACATCCGCTAAATAAGCCAAAGTGGTGTTTTCCGTAAACCTTTCAAGCTGAGGTGACAAAATTGCAGGCAGCACCTGTTGGTGATCATCAGAAGTAACCTATGAACTCACTAGAATGAGACTCCTATTCTTTTATTCCCCAGCCACTTCCCTCCAATGTGCTTTAACTTGTAAATAGTGGCACAACTGAGCCATTGTATGCCTTTGTTTCTCTATACCGTTGCACGCCAACTCTTCAGTCATGCGCCGTAAACTTCTTCAGTAGAAACTGGAATACTTTTTTTTGTTGGCACTTAATTGTTTACATTTGTTACCAAACTGGTACTAATTTCAGTGACCGGTGGGTATAGCTACTTATGTTTTGGAGGAAGAGAAATGAGAGATGAATTCAGGCCTAGAGCCTGGCTATTGGTCAGGCCACGAGCATGCCAAAAAGTGCAATCACTATAGGTGCATGATCACTGATTTTCATTCGTGCCTGGAGATTTATCTTTTTGAAAAGGCTTACAACAGTTACAGAACAGAGCTACTGCTGGAACTCTGCTTAATTGGGTGTTTTCCATTTTTAAAAAAAACGTGAATTCAGATAGACTGAAGAAAGAAGGTACTGTGCCCCACTAATTCCAGGCTGCTGTTTGTGTTTTGTGTTGGTAGGATTACGTACCAAAAATGGCCCAGTGTCTTGTCGGTACCAAAACCATGAGATTTGTGAGGCATTGGGTACCTCTCCTTGATTGAGGTGAGGATAGGAAAATTGGGTGCAAAAATTTAACGTTCCTGATTTATACCACTCCTGATTTTTTTTTTACAAATGGCTTGAAGTTATTTTTAGAAATATTGTTTCTCCAGAATTGCCTTATTAACTAACGGGAGGACCATCAAAAGTTCTCATTTATAATTTGCTGTATGCTATTGTTGAGGAACTATATGGTGAGGCATTGGTGTGTTTTTAAAGCGTCATTGTGAATTGAAGGTTTGTAGACGTTTTTAAAAGTTTTACTGGTCTCCAGTCGAGTCAGTTTCAAATAATTGGAAATCGACTAGTTACTCTATAAAACATGCACCCCGCTTGACAATTTTTGATGACTCCAGTGAAAGATGTTGCATCTGTGTCTCTGCAGTGTGGTAACGGTTTCATGACCATTTCCAAATATTGGGGTGCTCTTGCCCTTTCATCTCATGTGTCAGGTGGGAATGCACTTGTTATGCAAATGCATTGTAGAGACACACAGACATCGCATAGCCAGCCTATCCCTGGCTAAATGTCTCCTTCATGGAGATGTTGCACACTAACTCCTCCTCCTGCCCCAATTTAAAATGTGTGATCAGTGGAGTCTTTAGGCATCACTGCTTAATATAACCAAAACTTGACTGTATTGAATGCTGGAAGCTGAACTGTAGGAAGTCCATTACAGGGCAGAGACTAGGTGACCTTATCATAAAAACCAAGATAATGACATAGGTCACGGAGCTTAAAAACAGAATGCAGAGGTTGTCTTGTTGCTGTAAGTCCAGTCATATGATAGTTAGCTTGGATATGCCAGTCACTTTATTTTAAGGAAGCATTTGTGAGGAAGGGCGCAGAAACCTCAAGTTGAAGTGAAATGATAGTGGTTTATAAGCTGTAAAGGTGTATGATTTGACGAGCTGAGAACAGTTTTAATGTCTTCCCCACTAACCGCTCCCCCCCCCCCCCCCCCCACCCCCCCCCCCCCCCCGCCACCACCACCCTCTCAGTCTCACACATACAGATTTTTTCCTTGTGTAATATACATTTTTTTTTTCTGAAGGGGGTCAGTGTCAACTGACTTTACAAGACTGGCTGCATAGGAAGGTTTAAGACTTCTTACAGTTAAGGAGTAGGTACAAACTGTTCCTATCACTCACTCCATATATTGAAAAAAAAACTGTTGAACTCCAGAAGCCTGTTTGTTGTATTTATTCCTTGAAATGTCTTGTATTAAGTCTGTCCTTTTTCTGGTTCTCTGTTAATTGTGGACCTAATTTATTTCTGTATTCATTTAAGAATGTAAATAAACGTTTTTGATATATACAATATGAAATGTCTTGGGTGTGTTTTTTATTAAATCAAAGTAACTTTTCCTTTAAGTAACTTTAAAACTGTAATGTATGTTATCTGCATCTTACGTCCTTTCTTTCCATGATCAGTTCTATAGGTTGGCCCAGACATTGGTATCTTTGTATTCATTACTCCTCGGGCTTTCTCTGCTCCTCTTAATGTCATGACATGCTGTAGTTTGGCCTGTCAAGCCTGCTCTGTCATTCAGTGAAACCATGACTGATCTTCAATTTCAACAGAGTTCCTCACCTTGGTATTTTGGGCTGAAGGATCCACAGCTGCTTCACCAAAGACCTGCCCCCATCAAAAGGTCAGAAGTGGAGATGTTCACTGATGATTTCCCAATGTTGAGCACCATTTGCAACTTCTCAGTATAGAACGTCCAAATGCATTAAGACCTGGACAATATATCGGCTTGGGCTGATGTATGGCGAGTAACATTCGGGCCAGAAAATTGCCAAATAATGACCATCTCAAACAAGATAGCTTTTAACCATAGTCCTTTCTGAGATTCCCCTTTTGCTTGGATGAGTGTAGATCCAACAACACTCGAGCTTGACACTATTCAGGACAAAGCAGCACACTTGATTCATTCTCACAATCACTGATGTATAGGAGTAATAGTGTGTAACATCTACAAGATGCACTGCCAAAGTTCACCAAGGAGCTTTTGGCAGCACCTTCTAAACCCATGAGCACTACCATCTGAAGGACAGGGTAGCAGATGCAACTTCCTTTGTAAGCCACATGCCATCCAGACTTGGGAGTATATCGCTGTTTCGTTATGGCTGTTGGGTCAAAATCCTGGTGGAACTTCCTAACAGCATTGTGACACCACATAGACAACAGTGGTTCAAGAAGGTAACTCATCACCACCATCTTGTCAACAGTAATTGGGGATGGGCAATAAAGTCTGGCCCAGGCAAGCAAAACTGATATTTTGGTGAGGGGGTGGGGGAAGACACTTCTTCCTGCACTCCGTGTATCTTAACATTTCAAACGTAGAAATCTGTTGTTCTCAGCCTTGAACACACTCAATGACTGTTTCATGCAGAGGGTGGTGCATGTATGGAACAAGCTGTCAGAGGAAGTGGTGGAGGTGACTACAATTACAATGTTTAAAAGATATCTGGATGGGTATATGAATAGGAAGGGTCTACAGGGATATGGATCAAATGCTAGTAAATGGGACTAGGTCAGACTGGGATGTTTGCCCAGCATAGAGGAGTTGGACTGAAGGGTCTGTTTCCATGCTGCATAACTCTATGACTGATCCTCCCCAGTCCTCTGGGACAGAGAACTCCAAAGCTTGGTCCCACTCTCTCAATGAAGAAATTCCTCTTCATCTTGGTGCTGAATGACCCATCTCTTGTTCTAATACTCTGTACTGGTCCTGAATTCTCCAGATGGAAAATTTCCTATATCTATCCTGTTGAACTCTAATAATTGTGCATTTGAAAATAAATTGTCTCTCATTCTTCTAAACACCAGAAAATATCTTTCTTCATAGCAAGTTCCTGGTCAATCTTTGTGCACTCCCTTTATGGCAAGTATATATTCCTTGGTTAAGGAGACCAAAAGTAAGCACAATATTTCCAGTGCAGTCTTGCTGAGGCCGTATTGCGGTAAAACATCTTGCTTCTCTCTTCAAATCTTTATGTAATAAGGCCAACATGCCATTTGCCACCTTAAATGCTTGCTATGTAACTTTATATTAACTTTCAGTGATTTATAGACACTTTTATAAGGGCACCCAAGTCCCTTTTGAACTTAAACACTTGACAAACATTTCAGGAATACTCTGTATTTCCAATGAAATAGGTAACTTCACTTTTCTCCACATTGCATTCCATCTACTAGTTTTCTGCACACTCAGCCTCTCTAAACCCCTTTCAAGCATCTTTGCATCCTCCTCGCAACTGACACTTTGTCGTCTACGAACTTGGAAATTTTCAATCTAATCCCACATTTCGAATCATTGATCTTGTTCGTGATTAAGTGGGCCCAAGGTCTGATCCTCGCAGTGTCACAGCCCACCAGCAGAAAAGTGAGCCATGTATTCCTGATCTCTATTTTCCAACTATTAACCAGTTCTCAATCAATGCCAGCATATCCTCCACCCTTTCTAATTCCATCTGCTTTAGTTTTGATTGCCAACTTCCTGTGTGGGACCTTATCTAAAGCCTTGTGAAATTCTAATTGTGCCACATCCACGAGTTTTCCCTTTTTCCAACTAATTACATCTTCAAAAAACTCCCAACAGGCCTGGCAAACATGATTTTGCTTTCATAAATCCATATTGACTCTGCTTATATCCCACCACTGTTTTCACAGTGTTCTATTATGTGATCCTTGATTTTTGATTGTAGCATTTTTGTCTTTGACTAATGGTGGGCTGACAGGTCTGTAGTTCCCATTTTGTCTCTCCCTCCTTTCTTAAATAATGGAGTTATTTGGCTACCTTTAAATCTTCCAGGTCCATTGCAGAGTCTGTAAGATTCAGAAAGATAACCACCAATGCATCCACTATTTCTGCAGCTGCCTCTTTCAACAGCCTAGGATATAGATCATCTTCTCCAGGGTGTTTATCCACTTTAAGGCCATTAATTTCCCTAGTTTGATATATTTACTAATTAATATCTTGTAGTTCCTCATTTACGCTGGTTGATAGATTTTCCATTATTTATGGTAGAATCTGAGTGTTCCTCCCCTTTATCTTACAGTAAGATTATTCATAGAGTGATATCAGAAAGCATAAGTTCATGTAAAGGATGAAGAAACATGGTGAAAGGGTTGGAAAATGTAGTTGAAGTGTAGAAGATTATTGACAATACAGGATGACAGATCAAATTTGAACAGCCTTATTTCATATATTGAATAGGTTTTGCAACTTGCAACTTTTTTTTCCCTTTCTTGCCAAATAAAGACTGTTGGGATGAGATCATTTGAAAGTTTCAAAACTGAGATTGACTATAAGGTCATTGGATGTAGGAGCTGAAGTAAATCATTCAGCCTCATGATTCCATGAGATCACGGCTAATCTGGGAACCCTCAACTCCATGTTCCTACATTTTACCCTATAATCCCTCATTCCCTTCCTGATTAAAAATCTTGAGCATACTTAACAACCTAGCCTTAATAGTCCTCTTCTGTAAAGAATTTCTCAGAATCACTACCTTCTGAGAGAAGAAATTCCTCCTCATCTCTGCATGAAATCCCTTATTCTGAGATAATGTCCTCTGGTCCTAGACTCTTCCCACAAGGGGCAACAACCTCTGCATCTACCTTGACAATCTCCAAAACATCATCTATGTTTAAATGAGTTCATCTCTCATTCTTCGAAATTCCAATGAGTACAGGCTGAACTTGCTCAATCTCTCCTCATGAGACAGTCTGTTCATTGGACAGTGTCCCCATATCCGGGATCAGGCTAGTGAACATTCTCTGGACTGCCTCCAATGCCAGTATGTGTTTCCTGAGATAAAGGGCCTAAAACTGTTAACAGTGTTCCAACTGTGGTCTGACTAGTGCCTTGCTTTGTTTCAGTGAAACCTCCCTACTTTTATATATTATATATATATCCTTTCGAAATAAAGGTCAACATTTCATTTACCTTCCCTATTACCTGCTGAATTTGGATGTAAGTTTTTTTGTGGTTCCTACACAGGGACTCCCAAATCCTGCTGTTCTGTAGCTTTCTGCTACAGTCTTTCTCCACCTAAATAATATTCATCTCCTCTATTTTTCCTGCCAAAATGCATAATCTCACATTTCCCCAAATGATAGTTCATCTGCCAAGATTTTGCCCACTCACTAAACCTGTCTATATCCCTCTGCAGGCTCTTTGAAGCGTCCTCACTGCTTGCCTTCGTACCTATTTTTGTGGCATCTGCACAACTTGGCTATATTACATTCGCTTCCATTCTCCAAGTCATTAATATATTGTAAATAATTGTGGCTCCGTCACTGATCCTTGGGCTTGTCCACTATTTAAAGGTTGTCATCCTGAAAATATCACATCACTCCCCACCACCCCCCCAACCCTAATCCCATCTCTGTCTCTTTCTATTAGTTAGCCAATCCTCTGTTTTGCAAGGGTTTTTTTTTGAAAAGGGTGGAGAATTACTGATCAGAAAGATGGGTTGATAGAACTAATATACAGATTATCCAGCTAATTACCCGCTCGTGATCTGATCGTAAACTCCTCCACTTATTGCCTCCAGCCTTCTGTAGGTTTTTGCAATTAGGTAGATGTCCAGGGGAAATATTGGAGGAAAGCATCTAGAATGACAGCCAACTATGACTGCTTGACTTTTGGCCTTCAAAGGGACTGTTGAGTCTTTACTGATAACAGTAAAGTAGGGTAGGAAAGCTATCGAACGAAGGAATCATAAAGTACACTTCAGTCCATCAAGTTGTACTGCCAGAAATGTTTGTTTAGTTTACTGCATGATAGCAGTCGGGTATATGTTACATCAGCAAGATAGAAATTGTTACCATGCCTGTAAGGGACTTAGTGTATAAGTCTTCTGTCTGCAAGATTCATAAATATTTTTGCCTCTCCCCACCAAAGTACCTATGGCATCATCAGATTGGTTGGAGCTTCTTGCAATCTGCAGCATTAAACCTTTCTGGATCATTAGCTTATACAGCATTTGTCTGTGTGACGTTTTTTAATTCACTCAAAAGACATGTGCGTCACTGGCAGGGCTAGCATTTATTACCCATTTTTAGTTGCCCTTGAGAAGGCAGTGGTGAGTTGCTTTCTTGAACTACTGAAGTCTAGATTTTAAAAGCATGTATTCCATTCAAAATGTATAATACATGATTTTTCTTTTAAAAGACTTAAATTTAATACAATTTATATCCTTAGCAAATCCCAAAGTGCAGTCAACATAGTGTTATCATGATGTAGGTAATGACTACTTAATCTGTTTTCGAGAAGTTGGTTGAGCAATAAATACTGGTCACCAGGACG